TATCTTCGCTGACCAACTTGACTATGATTTGCTGATTTATGTAGGCATCCCAGGACAGCGCTTCCGGACAGGTTTTATATGCGCATGAGGCCGAATCCTTTAGAGCAGTGGTCCCCAACCTTTCTATCGTCGCGGATCGGTCGACGTTTGATGATCTTTCCGCGGTCCGCTAGAGGGGCGTTGACTGGTTATATTTTAGATTGTTTGATTTAATGATTTGAATTTAATGGTATTTAAACCTGCGCTAAAAATAAAATAAGGTCACATCAAAAAGGAAGATAAAGTGATTTAACATGCCAATTCACTAGAAAACTAAATCAGTGAGAACCTTGAGCTTGTTTCTCTGCAACGAGACTGTTCCACCTGGGGGTTTTAGGAAACAAGGACATTCGAAGTGTGTTACTTATGTCCAGTTTATTCCGTTGTTTTGTTTCGATTACTGTCATTGTAAAAAACCCCGCTTCACATAGACAGGATGTCGGAGATGGCAATACGGATTTAAGTGCTGTGGTGGCACTCTGAAGGTAATTCACAATGACTTCGATCCAGAACACCGGTAGAGCTATTGTCTCGAAGCTAGTTTTAAGGCTGCCGTCATTTGCAATCTACAGCAGTTGACATTCTTCCTGCACAGATATGTTATATTCGGCTGGTTTGTTGACAAATGGGTCGCGGGTTCATTCCTTACCAGTTCGTGCGTATTTTGTGGTTGGGATGTGGCGCTCGAACTCTTTTCAAAGCGAAGATAGGTGAGATTGTACACCAATTGGGATAACGGATGCTCAGGGTCAGTCTCGTTTAAAATCCCCGCTAATGTTTGAAACGTGTCCGAAATGCCTCTGTGCACGCACCGTCCCCACAACTTTAGTTTGGCTTTGAATGCAACTACTTTGTCTGCAAACTTGAAAACAGTTGTCGTTTTCCCCTGAAGGGATAGACTGAGCTCACTGAGCAAGCCAGTTTTACCACCTATGCCTTGGCACAGAAATGTGATGTCAGCTGTGACTACTTTTCTTAGGGAACTCTTTGCAATAGCTCTCGTAATTCAAACACTCTGGTCATCGATTTTCCTATGGATAACCATCTTATTTCTGCGCGCAAGCGGATGCACCTGTGCTCTGCATCTATCTCCTCACAAGCCGCTCAAATAGGCGCAAGTCAAGGATGTGTGCTTTGATATGGTTAATAACTTCAACGATATCAAACAGTATGTTGTTAAATCCCGGTGACATTTTTCGGCTTGCCAGCATTTTCCTGTGAATGATAAAATGATTCATTCTCTGCTGCAACTTCCTTAAGCCGAGCAGTTAAACAAGACAGTCGCCCGTCAGGGCAGCAGCTCCGTCTGTGCATATGTTGACACAAAAGGACCATTTTAATTGTCCTGATATATAACCATCCAATAACTTAAACAGTTCTGTTCCTGTGGTGTTAGTTGGCAAATATAGTGCACAACAAATCCTCATACACATCCTCCTGATAAAGATAGCGCACGTAAACAAGTAGCGTTGCCTGTTGTCGAGATCTGTAGATTCGTCAACCTGGAGTGCGCACCATGGTGACGTATTAATCCTCTCCAGCAATTGTTCCAATAGCTTTGGCTATTTCCTCAATTCGCCTAGTCACAGTGTTAGCTGACAAAGGCCCATGTGCTATCTTCTCTAACAGCAGCCTCACTTAGAAGTTCACGCAAATGTCTTTAGTGAATCACTTTTTAGCCTTAGCAATACGGTTAGCCTCAAAATATGATGCTCCCAGTGCATTCTCCTTTATTGATGTGGTGGCCCTCAGAAACTTATTCTGTCCTTCGTGTTCCCGATTGCTTTTTTCAAAATACTCAAGCGGCTTGTCGTTTAATCCGGGCTGTTTGGCGTTCTAGTGGCAAAGCAGTTTCGAGTTTCATTGTCTCATTAGAGAGCCGGTTGCCACAAACTATGCAGAACTGGGTTGGTGTGTGGGAATCACGTGTCCCGAGATATATGTATTTTAAGTAGGACTCATGATATTGTCTGGTAAAAGTTTTATGTTTTGTTGATGTTAAAGGCTCTTCTGTCTCTTCACCGGGCCTTTTCTTTTTCCCAAGGAAACTTTCTAACGAGGTCTGTTTCGTACTCATTTTTGCTAATTGGTGGGTGAAATTTGAGCGCTCAAGTAACCGAGATGTAACCTGGAAAATAAAACATCGTTAAACTCAAATAGTAAATGTGGGTGAAAAAAGGCAAAAGTAAAACACAAGATACACTACACTAAGCACTGTTAAACACGGGAAAGTACGGGCGAAGAGAGAGAAGAGCGATACACACATTCTCTCCACCAAAGTTAGAACGCCACTGCCATTCGCAGACGCACAGCTCACAGTTAACCTCTCGTCCATGAAAAGTCGTACAATCCCGAGAGAAATACATCACAATAAATAAAATGGAAATAAGTTAATGTTTCTTGGGTGGCGCGGTACTATTTTATCCACGACCGGTAACGGTCCGCGGTCCGGGGGTTGGGGACCACAACTTTAGAGCCATGCATTTTCGTGTCCGGCTCTTCAGATGAGAATTCATTTGCTTCGGGCGAAAGATTTTAGTTTAGACGCAATTTCCACTAGCCTGATGAACTGGGTAACAAACTCCCTCCAGGCGGTGTCGGGAGGGTGTTCAGCAAGGAAGAATCAGTTGGTTTCTTTAATGAGTTCAGACAGTGTACCGCAATGGGTGACATATTAGGTAGGCTAGTCAATATTCATCACTGGCGTTCGGCAGTGAGGGAGTAGAATCGTCGAGAACAGACACACTGTTCGGCTTCAGCAGTATCAGCCAGTGCCGAATTTCGTGGATAGAGTGATTTAAGACCCAACGGCCTAGCTTGGTCAAGGAGCAACCATCAACCAATGGGACACTGGTGGACCTGCTCAGCAAGGCGCATAGTCTGCCATTCGAACAGGTACATCAGCGAACTGACTATCGACACACCTTTCTCAGCTAGTGCTTTACTCACCAATGCCTTCGGACGGTGTGTCGGAGGAGTTGGTACAGAAAGAGGTTGTTCCCAATGCTGCTACACTTCCCCACTGTACAAGTCCCAATAGCTTGCTAACGCTCCCGATTAGTACCGCAAGATAGATAATGCACAGAGATTGAACGAGAGAGAAAAGGTCATTTTGCCGATATTAACCCACTGCATACACGCAGACTTCATATTTACCAAGAGATCTGGTCTCATGTTATAAGCAGCTCATCCATGTTCAACGATTTAGGTTTCCCACGATATCCTGTGCACTTGTGGGAGCTCTTCTTAGCTGCTTCGACTTTGTCCATTTTGACAGACATAAGTGCACCTCACCCTGACATTAATACTAGGCGTCATCATAGTAGTCGTCACGCGATAACGAAGATCCGATTGCTGAAAATAACAGGGTTCAGGAAGAACTCTTGCATAAGCATTTCATTGACATCTTGAAGACAAACGGTTTATACCAAACAGAAACTAATTCTGTAGTCTTTTCTAAAAAGGGAGCAAAACCCATTGGTCGGTCAATTGTTATAAGTAGACTTATTCGTATTTTACGTTGATCTGCCCATATTTATGCGCTGTTGCACTATCAGTGTAAAGGAAATAAGGTTTAATCGGAGCAGTGATAGATCCACTGAATCTCGTCAACCACGAAGCCAGGCCAAATGGGAGAAAGATCAAGCTGAGAGATTGAAACAAATATGCTGGAGTGTTATGTACATCTTAAAAAGCCTTATAATTGTAAAATCGCCAGCCCGTAGCCTACCTGTAACGAGCCTGTCTCGTAAACTAGCGGAGCGGATTCCAGCCTGCGTAGGGGCAGGGCGACCCTCGCAGTATCCTTAGCTCACCTGCGACCGGTAGTGGTTGCGCAGCAGCGAATCGTCGGTACTGCGTGCCAGAGTGCTGCTGATGCCTCTAATTGTGGAATCAACTGTATTCAAATAAATAAATAGTATCCTCTTTCAGTGGCACCTGGGGTGAGACCTATGTTCAACTTCGTCAAACTGACCATAGGGAACCTGAGGTTGCATCTATTTATTATATATTACTATTATTATTATTTAAAGACCCTGAGCTGCAGCTGGCGTCTGTTGTTACTCATCTGGACAGGAGTCTGTTGGGTAACTTAAGCACATGCAATCCTCATGAGTTAGTGGCTAGCGGATTCGAACTTGCTGGGTTCGCTGGCGCGTACTCGCTGGGCAGCAAACAGACGACACATCCACTAGGCAGTCATCTGTATTTCAAAACGTTACGTTCGCAGGTATTTTTAACATACGGGCGAAAAATTGACCTGGACAGTTCAATGTTAGACGCTGTATATCCTTTACGCCACTATGATCCCTACCAGTAAAACTTCTTTAATTGGAAATCTATTGTGCAATGTTCCGAGAATGTCGGACTCAAATAACTAACACCCGAATCCATTGTGGACTGGACCAATTTTCCCCAAAATGTGACAACTTTGTGCACTTAGCCAAACCAAATAATACCGCAAGTAGGGAAGATGAGGCAAACTGGAAAGTAGTACGAGCAAGGATCAGAAAGCTTGGCCGAGTCCATTGTCGGTTGCGTGGTGATTTGATAGTAGCGTACTAAGTTTCAACCCTACATAATGCTGGCCACAGGCACGTGTGCCATGAACACGCAAGTACGTCGTCGTTTTAAAACCGAACTGTCAACTCTAATGATACACGCCTCATCGAACTTCGTCTTTGATGAACTTACTTTCAAATACAAGCTTTTTCTCTGAAGCGTTAATTTTCGAACACTGAGACTTGAATGACGCATGCTAAGTCTGCTCTCATGCATCGAACTGCAGCTACATCGGAGAACTATGCTGAAAAGACTTATCAGATTTGTGTCTTCCTCCCATTCGTCTGATGACGGACGGGATCAAATCGATCATGTGGTGCATGTTGGTGCTGAGGTTCTGGTAACAATCACAGAACTGATGCTGTCCGAAATAGTAGCGAATTTTCTCCCTTTCCTAGTGATTCTCCATACCAGTCCGTAGAGGAGTAAGTCCATCGTATTTCCAAACCGGTTCACCGAAATGAATCGTGCACATACTTGTTCTCTGAGCACCATATGTGTTTTCACTGTGCATGAGCCCCACGCTGTACGTTTACCGCTCTAGCACCTGTGACGACCTTTCACACAGCACCTCTCTACGACAACGAAGTCGCCAGCGCAGATTGACCAGTGAGCGGCATCCACTGCGATTTGGGTTTCTAGTCTCATATCACAGCAGCGCGGATAGTATGCAACTCGATCATTTGTAAATGTGGATGCGAATAATCTTCCGTTATCTTTGCAGGCCCCAAAGACGGATAACTCTAGTTCAGAAAGCCCGGGCCGCTCTTACGAAGGTAAACCCCATTGACCATTTGACATTTAGAACATTCAAAAATATTGTGATTTAAAGCATCGTGTTCCCTGAATCAGTCTGAACAACAATATTGTGATTGTTTTTGCCTAGTTGTACGCGCTATCCTCTAGTAGTTGCAGTCACACAAGCCGAACGACCGTCTCACATTCAACTCTCGTTATGTGTACTGCTCATGCCAGTAGGTAAGGATAGAACTTGCCAAAATGATTGTCCGAAACTGTTCTAACACAGATAACTTATGTTGGATGAACAGTTCTCTGAGCCTGTCAATTAGTTTGCAAACGTTTCCTTACCAGTCAGTGACATCATCAGTCGTGTGACCGTAATGGAAAAGGACACCATACAAACAGCTCAGGAAACACTCTCAGCAGCGGAGACAAACGGGCCATGGCCACGAAGCATAGGTCAAAGAGGTTATTTCCAAAGGTTATATGCCCAAATGGCCGATGATGAGCTATAAAAACGCACGCACGTGACTACCCGGTTCACACTTACGCATCGCTATACTAAACTACGTTAAGCACTAACGCACTGAGGATGTCACCTCGACTGGGGACGGAACGTTTGAAAAATAATTGCCAATCAGAGAACAGTTCACCAAACAAATGGACAACCCGAGCTATGCACATTACTTTATCAGAACAGCAGAGTGAGCACAGATTGTCCAGCGTGCTGCTAGCACGACGCCAAGGCGTAAACGAGTGTGGGTGATGGTTTTCAGCCCGTTATTTACTTGCATGTCTTGGCCTCCCTCACCAGAATCTGCACTGGACTTCGAGTATGCGGACAGAAATGTTCAGCTGCTTCCATCGTCTTGGCAGGACAAGTCAGTACGAGACATACCAAGCAAGTTGAATAAGACGGTGGTTTTGCACACTACACAGCAAGCCTTCGAAGAACGTATGTGAACCCGTAGACCACATCTTTCAGTGACCCAAGAGTGGGATCCTGGGCTATTGGTTGTAGATGACTCTGGCTATTCGAACAATCCGCGAAAGTCAAAGAACGGGAACCAACACGTCAATCACTTTGGGAGGACGTTCGGTCTATCCAGTTGCTCATTAGACTCAAAGCGTACGTTAGGCTTGTAGACGCACGATTTCGTTATATTTGAAATTCCACAGCGAAAAGTAACGAAGCGTGTTATCGGCACGTGGCAGCTCTCATACCAATCTAGATTGAAAGCTCTATGAAAGTAGAGTAGATCACACATTGACGCACCGGATTTTGAAGAATCGTAGTCACATTTACCGCCACCCTCTTGAAATTGGCCACAATTCTACCCTGGGGGGCCGCCAGCCAAAAGTAGCTGAGAAGTATAGCCGACTGAAATGTCACCGGAATTTTAACCGCCCTGAGTTTATCAGCAAACACTTTTTCAACATGTCACGGCTGCACTCCCGATGTCACTTAACGGATGAACCAAGCCATTTGCACTATGCACACATGGAGGACGAGAGAACGCAAATGAACGTTATGCTCGCCAACCCTACTATACAATTGAGGCAAACTTGTTTACCTTTGTTTTTATGTGGGTATTATGGTGAGTTCACTGTTGTGTAACCTCAGGTGTTGCAACGCTTATTACCGAACCTGCGATTCTCACACAAAGCACTGTACGGGACTCCATAGGCTTTGGGCTTTTTAACTATAACAAGCCTTTGTTCTATTGGCTCCAGTGGCCAGATTGTATTTAGCCATTAGTAGAGCACAGTCAAACGTGTCTAAAGTGAGCACTCAACGGGACCGATAAAAATTGGCCACCTTGGACAGGTGGTCACCACGGACAGGTTCACGCATAGGGACATTACTCATAGGAGAAAACGTTGGGGATGTTATTGGCTGGTCGCCATAACAGTTTCGACTGTATGTTGGCCACTCTTTTCAGTCTGTATTAAATGCAAACTTTGTTCTTTTTGCAGAGGAAAGAACTGGAACCTGTAGTTCGGAGATCATCTGATGGTAAGTTTAGATAAAAGTCGCTCTGGACACAAGACTTATATTTTTCAAGTTCATGAAGTGATTCAGTGGCTCCTTGCATTTAATCGAGTATGAATAATTCATTTTCGTCATTCGCATCGGACGAGTAGCAGAATAGATCTACGAAGCTAATAATCAAACACGGAGTAAGTGAACGAAACATCTGAGTGGTGCATAACGCTATTAAAAGGGATTTAGGTTTGAGATGACCGGTGACACTTGAGAAATAAAGAAAAAGTCTCTTGGTTGAGTTGTAGCAGGGCGTCCTACACGCACTATGAGTTGTATGCAACCGTAAATATCGTGAGCGTCTCAATCTAAAGGAAATCGTTGATAGTATCTCCACAAATGCACAAATAATATTACAAAGGCTTTGGTTTTAAGGTTAATCTATTTATAGTTCACGAATTTGACACAAATTATGTTTACTTGATCTTCCTGTTAGTTGCTGATGGAAAACTGTTCCCTTTACAAACTGCAGCACGTGACAGGACGAATTCAATGCAGTCTCAGTGCCAATTTTCTAACGAAAACGATGGTTTGTTCGCCAATTCCTTGGCTGCATCCGAAGTTATGACAACTCCCAACGCCGCTCCAGTTCCTGGGTCGGTATCGCTTTATGACCAGGATGAAAATAAACTTAGTACAAATAAATATCAAACGTTTCTCCGGTGCCTTGACAATTCTACCCTCAATGCCAAGACTGAGGCGGTAAGTTAATAGATAACGGTCTCACAAATGTATACGGTATGGTATCGATGCGAGTTGGTTTTTGGCCACAGGGAAGAGGAACCAGGTCAGTGGGAATTTATCGAAATATGCTGACGAGGTCGATACACAACTAAATGATATCAGCTTTGCACGTGCAAGGTAGAAGAAAAAATCCGAGCCGGTTTTGGTGTCGTATTTGTCACTTGTAGTTTCAGTAGGAGAGATTTCACAGGTTTGCACATGCAAGTCAGATGATCCCGTAAGCAGCAGAACACCCGATAAGAAGAGTACAACGATTCCATTGTCGAAACAAAATCATTCGTCAGATGAAGGCTACTGTGGACATAGAGGCTGAATCTCCGTCCGTCACCCTGCAACTCAGGCTTGTCTGATCGCACCTAATGTTAGCTGTACATATGCATATCGGTTATTGGCAATGGTACAGAGGTGTCGGTACGAAATGCAGGCACCTTCAAGCTTTCGTCCTCTCACCGTGCTCTTCAGAATGTTGAGGGGAACTGGTTACTTTAAAGAAACGAAAGACGACCAAAACAAGGCGGGTGTAGAGTATCCAAAAGCCCTGGTTGTCTAGTAGCTCTTTATGTACACACCCGTTTAGCTTGAGCCAAAGTGCTGCACCATACTAAATGCCGGCAGTTTCCTTATGAACTATTTGCAGCGAAGATTCGTTGCTGGTGAAGCATAATGTCGAGCAATAAAGCACAACATGCCTATATGATTTGCTGCACCTCTCGGGTCTCTTTAGATGGGACCAAGAAGACAAGATGCCTCCGGATATCCCAGTACGTGTGTTCTGGATTCCGATTTCCGTCAATCTTGGTGCCCTGAGCGACCAAGCGAAGAAACTTCATTAGCAACAGTGCACGGAGCTATTAACTCCAACGGGGCGTCGGAGCTGGCAGAAGCGCCCCACAGAACAAAAGTTCCTAAATCTTCATCATATCAGGTGGATTCTGGACATCAGTTTCCAATCGAACCAACTGAGAGCAGATCTTTTCACGGTACGAAATTTCGGGGAACTCCAAGTCAAATCTGTTTAAATGCGACAGGTTGTGAACCACGTGATTCAAGTGAATCCACGGAAGCGAAATCTAAACAGCGAGGTAAGTAGTCCAAAGCGCACCCTGGATGCGCGGTTACGTGTTCATTGATTCGCCATCTCGTTTGTACATTTACAAAGTACAAATGTCATTTCCGTCTATCCTATAATGTGAATTGTGCCTAGTATGTTAAAGGTTAGTAGTACAGGGAAATAATCAGTGGTTCCTACTACAAATGAATATCTGGTTGCTTCTTGGAACTGCTAAAAGACAATATTGGTCATCTCAGAAGCCTGGCATGCTGATAGCAAGACAATGGAGCGATAGGTATATAATGGGTAAAAAAGCAAACACCTAATAATTCCCATACGTATAATGAATCTAAAAGTAAATGTATCATTACAAGGTAAGACTCATCGGTGGACTCACTGTATGCTTCACATGTGCACCCTGTCCGATTACTCTATATCTTGTCCCGATAACTTGGCCTCAAATCACGTAATGCAGGTGGTGTAATGTATCATCTAGTCGAATTTTTGATTCAGTTAACGTAGGAACGGAGATGAGGAAATTCTGAACAGCATTCCACGAGTGGGATATACGAATACGGGAAATTTTCCGGCTATACACAATGTGGTGAAATTTCAAGGAGACATTTCAGTGCTGCACTGTGGTTGATTTTCAACAAGTGTCGATATGTGTAGTTGAAATTCATGAGGATCTGGGGCACGAATATAAGATCACCTCGCAGACGATAATTTTATCCACTTAAAACTTTTGGAGGGCTTTAGTCCCATTAGGTAAGGAAGCTAAAGTAAGCACCTAACATCTTTACTCGCTATCAGTTGCGCAGTCCCAAGTGTCGCGGGGTCATGCTTTAGCCACGGGCCACAAACTTGGAAGTATCCTAAATAGGGGCTCACATTAGCCTTGTGCAGTTGATATAAGATTGCTGGGTTAAACCTATATTACGCTTTCCGTAGGAGGTCCAAGTGTTGACCCACCTTTCTCCATGCATATTCGCCCTGTCTTGAGTAGACGAAATACTCCTGCACGAGCTCAACTAGATCCCATTTATGGGAAGCGCACTGCAAAATTTGTCCTTCCAGCTAATTGTCTCTGATCGTGGTAGCGCGTGCTCGATAGTTTACATTTGGCATCGTCAAATTCGAGCAGGTTATGAGACGACTACTCGTAAGCACTGGCAAAGTCGTCGTATTCATATGCGATGGTCTGCCACCCTGATGGCTCAACAAAACTTGAGTTCTACTGCAGAGGGTAAATCGTTTCAGGTGATTTCTTCCGCGATGTCGTTTATGGTTCAATAGTGTATGGTGGGATAAAAAGTATAACTTTACAAGACCCACATGATGGAGTTGCAAAAGAACATTAAAATCAGTAATGTTCCAACGTGAAACGGGAAGTATCACTGGTTAAACCCTTGCACTTGATCAAACTGGTGTGTAGCGTTTATCATTATGATGAAAGTCTAAGAGCCTTTCGAATGTCGTCTGGTGCGTTCACCACATATCTTGGGAATGGATTCCAGTGAGAACGGATTCTAAATGGGTAAAAATACTCTCTACAATCAAGACGGAAGTGTTGCGTCATTAGTTTCAGGTGCTTGTCTCGGCATTGCTTGTAAGGGACTAGGGTCAACAGTGATGTACAGTTAGTATCCGGTATGTGAGAATGATATCTCCGCGAAACCGTCTGTATTCTGAGGAGAACACACGAAGACGCAGTTCGTAAATGAGACTGAATAGTCCACGCGTTGCCTTTGCGGCTCGTCTTTGGAGTTGCTCCAATAGCGAATGTCTCGTTTTAACCATGGACACCAGGCCTGAATTGCATATGCAACGTGAGGACAAATATCTGAGTTAATTAGCAATGGTACTAGCCATCGCTCAAAGGTGCCGAGAGCTCGCCTCGAAAGCCTCAATTTCAAGTTCGCTACACTTGCTGCTTCCGAACATTGGAGCGAATTGCCAAGACTTTATTACACGGTTTCACCTAAGCCGCGTTCACTACTCACGTGTTGCAGGACGTGTTGCCCCAAAATATATGCATTGACGGAGCTGCTGCGCACCGTCACCAGGTGGCACTTTGCAGGGTTCAGTGGGAGCTGGTTGGCTTCTGCCCATTCGTTAGTCCGAGCCAGATCTTCCTGCAGATAGACAAAGTCAGACACTGAGCGAATTGCTCTCCATATTTCAGCATCGGGGATAGAATGTCTGCTGGAAGGTCATTAATGTAGAATAAAAACAGTAGCGGGCCGAGGACGGATCCTTGTGGTACATCACTGGCGACGCACAGGCTTTCAGAGTGAGTGTCGACTAGTCTTACCTTGATTGCTCTGTTGTGTAAGTAGTCTTCCAACCACGTGAACAGGGAACCGTTGATACCGTAGGCAGCAAATTTTTGGAGGAGAAAGAAGTGATTGACCCCATCGAATGCTTTAGAAAAATCCAAGTAAATCACATCTATGGGGACTCCTTCATCAGCCGCCCTGGTCCATGAGTCCTGCATAAGCAGCAAAATGTGGAGTCAAGGTCATCTGCGTCTGAAACCATGTTGAGCATTAGAAAAATCCTTGTAGAGTTTCAAAGTATCGCGTCATTTCATCTGCGATTACCGACTCCATCACTTGATAAAACAGGAAGGAGAGTACTAGGTCGGTGGTTAGCAGGATCCCATCACTTACCTTCTTTTTATATTGGAGTGATAATTCCATTTTTCCACTCAGATGGGAGTTTTGGAGTCAAGCAGACCCTGGAAATGGCTACATGTGATACTGCTATGGTAGGAGCAAGGGTTATCAGTACTTTTAGGCAGATCATGCTGATTACAGGGGAACTGTACTCCCGGAGAGACTGTAATTTGTTTGCAACAGTTGCTGGGGTAAAATTGACGCTGGATACTCCACCGACATTTGTTGGGATTTGATGGCGGGGAGGTCCATGGTATTTGTAGCTACCGAGTCAAACTGCAGGAGTAAAACGTTTGCGGCATGCACAGCAGTAGTTGTTAGGCCACTGGCCGTTTTGAGTGGTGGTATTTTGGGCTTAACCTTTCTTCTACTACGCACATATCTGTATAGCAGTTTGGTGTTATTCGTAAATTTCAGCACCATGGTCTCCTGTCATTCGTACTTATCGACTTTAATGAGCGACGTGCAGTAGTTTCTGATTGCTTTGTAATTCTGCCATGTGGTATCACATGGGCTTAGCGAATGGTGCCTCCAGATCTCATCTATTCTGTTGATCCATTTACGTGTTCTGCTTCGGATCCACGTATTGGTCCGGCGCGATGCTCGTAACGGTACAATTTTCGATGCTGATTGCATGACCCAGTTAATTTTAGCTTTTAACTCATTCCATGCGTAATTCGCTGAGCAAGGTAAGTTGCATGAAGCTGGTGCGGGCCATACGTTCTACTGAGTGGGAAACGCCACCCCAGCACCACGTGAACATGGGTTGGATTTCCAATATCCGATCGCATCAATGGTCAGCTGTCGGGCACGCCCACCGCCATTAGCGCGCGACTGACTCTGTTTGCCTACGACTCGGAAGAGGTAAGTTTGCCAAGTTTATAAGCACGTACGGTCTGACCATGTGGTATCCTGATGATGCGCGTGATCAATTCTTCACTCATTTATCCTTCGTGATACGGTCTGTGGCGAGGAGCGACCGACTATTTCTGCTGGGTGAGTTCAATGAGTGGACAGATGTCATCGGTCCGCATGGTATTGGTTCAGCGAGTGCGGACGGTGACAGGCTGCCCTCACTGTATGCTGCTCATGGCCTGACGATCAACAACACTCGGTTTGCACTGAGCGCGAGTGATATAGAAACTTGGACGCACCCACGGAGGGGTCACGCTCACCTGTTCGAGTATGTCATCGTAAGTCAGCGTGATATGCGTGAAGTGCGCATGACACGTGTACTGCATGGAGCTCAGTGTGGCACTAACCACAAATTGGTGCGGACCAAATTGTACATCTACGTGCGAAAAAGTAGTACAGTGTGCTTGCCGTGAAACGGATGCGTAAATTTAGGTTTCTCTCCATCATACAGTGGAGAGAGGTATTAAGTTAGAGAAGGCAATGGCTTTACGCCTGTGTCATATGGAATGCATAGCCACAGTGGGCGACCTGTGGCACCACATTCGAGACCAGGTGACAGCCGATGCCGAGGAGACCATCGGGTGCGCAAACTGTAAGCGACCCGAGTGGTTTGATGAGAACAATGCGACGATTGGCGCATTAGTGTCCGAGAAGAATGCGGCATTTGCTGCACTTGTAGCAGACCCCAGTGACCTGGAGAGGAAGAGTCAGTTTCGCGAAATTCGACAGCGACTGACTCGAGAGCTCCGTCGCATTAAAAATGCATGGCGGACGGAGGAGGTGAAGTAAATGGAGTGCTACGCCGAACGCCGCCAACAAAGAACTATGACTCCTGGATGGCGGTGTATGGACCAATGTAGCAGCCATTGTGAATGCTGCACGATGGTACTTCAGACGCTGCCTGCACACAGGGTGCAGACATAATGCAGATCTGACCAAACCACTTGATTTTCCTGAACAATCGCTGAGAAGTTGATGGACCGTGTTGCACGAGCCACCATAACAAGAGATGAAGACGTGTCTTCCCGACACACTGACACTATACGGGACGCAGAGAGCATTTGCTCAGCTGCGAAATGGCAAATGTGCCGGTTTCGAAACGATCCCGCCTGAAATATCAAAACACGGCGGACCCGCGTTGCACCAAATGGTGCAATGTGTGTGGTTTGGCGAAGAGGTGTCGGCCAAGCCAAGTGATGCCGTTGTGCCACCAGTGCATAAAGACAAAGGGAGCAAGCAATGGTGCACGAATTATCGTGGCATCAACTTGCTGAGTCGTGAGGGCAAGGTGATTGCCCGAATCCTGCTCAACCGCCTCGTCACACAGGTCATAGATCCGAACGTGGCGAAAGAGCAGTGTGGATTCCGTTCAGGCCGTTGCACTATAGATATGGTATTCGCGACACGTCGGTTGCAGAAGTGCCGAGAACGACACCAG